TGCTATATCTCTCTTAAGGGATATTTTATGGCAAGGGCACACCCTTTAAGGAATATGGTTACTTCTCTCCATTCAAGTGTCTTTAACTGCTTCCAGCTATAAGTTATTTTGAACTATAAAACTCACCAGTTTTAACATTCAAAAATGTTATAATCAATTTCATAACATTGCTTAAATTAAAATAAGCTAATTTGAAGCTTAGACATGAAAAAGAAAAATCAGTATTTAACAGCTTTGAATATTTAGCAGTCTTAAAAATAGGACTTGTTTCCTTTTTCCAATAATTAGTATTTGTACCATAATTATAGTTTGTCTATAATTTCACTAATCCTTAAGAGCTTAGCTGCAAATAGTGTGCTTATTCAGTGTACAAGAATGTTTCCAACAAGAGGCAAACATTCAAAATCTCACCATACACAGAGTTTAAAAGATCCCCATGGATGTGGGGATGGATGAAGATAACACATATATATCATGACCAAAAATTCAAAGCCTGCAAAACAAAGTATAATGTGACATCACAGGCTAGCACCTTCAAAGAGGTCCAAACATTCAGAAAGTATTTGAGGTGTTAGCATATGGTAATTACTTTGTTCTGAAACTTAGACAAGTCCTGCCTCTCTGGATGTTCTCAGCTCCATTTTGGAGGAAGCAATTTCTTTTTCCAATTTTATCACTTAACCCTGAACCTTGTCCTCAGGCCACTTATTATCAGCATCACACCAACAAGTCTCCCAGAAGTAAAGTTTTCCTCTGTGATAGCCTTTGAACCCAGCCAAGGATTTCCACAAGACTTCTACCTAGAAACTCTGTCCCAGTCATGAGTTACTGCAAAACCATGCCTCCAACAGGCTCTGTTATCCTGGACACAGTATCAGCTGAAAGACAAGATGTATCAGTGCCTATCTGCTGTTTACATACTCAAAGAGCCTTTTTAGAAGTTTGTACATAGTACATAATTTTTTTTTCTCCGGGTCACAAGTACAAGATATGGTATTGCCCTGGGCTGTAATTTCAATGTAAAAGTCTCCATTATATCCATGATTTATTACCCATACAATTTCTACTATTTCAGGTGTAATCTTTAGACAACATAAGAGGAATACTTGAACCTAGCACAATTCTGTTAAGATCAAACATAAGCCTTTTCAGGTGGTCAATAACTGCATTTCTTAGCTTGCAAAGTGCAAGCTACTGAACATCTAATTAACTAATTTAGCATGTGAATAAGAAATATCCATTAAAATACAGGACTTCTCATGCAGGTAAGCTAAAAACTGATCCATTGTGAAGTCTATTCAAAACAGTAGTTCAGTTTCCAGGACAGTTCTATTTTTCATGGAATGGAAACTACACTAAAAAATCCAAAGTTCAGTACTTCTGTTCCTTTTTAATCTGCCATAACTCTGTTAGTTCAATGCCTCTCCAATTTCAGTTATAACCTTCCAAAAGCAACATTTCTGTGCTCAGATTTTTTCACACCATATCAGTCTTTTAAATACTAAAACCTGAGTCACACAGCAGAAATGGAAAAAATGTTCTGAAGAACTGAAAAGGGAAAAAAAAAAAGGGAAAAATATTCCAGAGATTGCTTTTCAATAGAGCTATAGAATTTGCAAATCAATTTTGTTGTGTCAGCCACTAATCTGTGTTTTTGTGTTGTGATATTATTCTATAGTTGCCAGCACACACAACAATACAATGCTTTAGCACCTCGTCAACTGCATTAGAAAAATAATGGCATTTATAATTTAAAATGGACAGTAGATGACTAAGTCTTGCTATAATTTTGTATATTTCACAGCAAATATTTTCAGTTGATACTCACCCTCCTTTCCCCTTCAGTTTTCTTCTCAATGTGCAATTACCCATTGAAGACAAGAATTTGATCCTTGAATGAAAATGAAAAAGCTGATAATTCAGCGCTCTGTAGACTCTCTCCTCAATCTGTGAGAAATACTTGAAGCTCTAGTAACAGTGAAAATCACAAAATAGAAGGTCTTCTCTATTATAGGGCAACTAGGCAACTTTGTCCTTTCCAGCAGTTGAAATACATGCTGCATGACAAGTTTGGAAGCATAATTTCTTGGAATTGGAGATTTTTAAAAATCAATAACTAGATGTAGTAAGTGTTCTCGGTATTTCCAGATACTTTCCCTTTTCTAAAAAGGGAAAGGTGGAGGATTAAAAAAATCCACAGGTGGTATGACTTTTTGTAAAATAATTCAATTTCTAAGAGAATTCAATGGACTTCTGGAAAGTATTAAATAGAAAAAATCCAAACTTGTAGGACACTGGTAGCTGATAAGAAGAATCATCATTCTACCAGAGTTTCCTTCAAATTGTAGTACCTGAATATGATATCATGTACAATCAATCTTATGCACGGTGTAACACAAACTACCCCCCCCCCAGCTATGAAGAACACAGCACCCTTCCAGAGTTCAGACTGTGCTAAACAAGGACAGATAAAGCATAGATATCTGTAAAGCAACACCATTCAGCATTCAATGCTTGGCCTCTGTTTCCACATTTCTTTTTCATTCCTTTCCCCTTCTCTCTTGGGATAAGGTCAATGAAGGTAACCATAAAAGTAAAAAATTAAAAGAAAAAGCAAGAATAAACTACCACTTCAGTTACTTCAGCAGTACATCCTGGCAACTCAAGATCTTTCTTAGGATCATGCCATTATCAACTACCCCCAATCACCACCTTCCCCACACTGGGCCTGCAGAAGGAGATTGCAGATATGTACTGATACCAGATGGTTTCCAGCTCCTTCTGGGCAGCACATGAAGGTCATTGAAACTGTCTTCCAAACAGACCTTAGAAAAATCTAGTGAACACTTAGTCACTGTGCTACTCTGGGTTTGCTGTGATGCTTCCTGAAGTCTTCTGTAAAGTCTTTCTTCATTCCATAGAGACAGCTCCATCCAACAACACAGACATTACTTCCTCCAAATACAAGACCAGCTCATACTGGGCTGGTAACTGGGCATCTCTTACTCTCTGCATTGACACTGCTTTAAAAATGCATGGAGGGGAAGCACTTCCAGATCTCTAGTTACTGTCCTTTTACTTCAGTTATATCAATTGTTCTGTAGTCCCAGGAAGCAGTCTGAGCAGCCTGGCCCGAGCCAGCACTCCTGGTACACTAGCCAAAACCACAATATTTACAGATTATTCTCTTAACTGCCTGGAGGAACATATCATCTTCTGGCAGAATGCAAAGAATTAACGGTTTTGGAAACTCAGCAGAGTAAAGAAGGAATCAAGCACTAGCAGCTAACAACACAGACTAGCAGGCTTCCAGGAAGTAGCAGAGACCATTCTGGTCTTGTGCCCTGTAACACACAACACTGCCAAAACAAACCACTTAGTGACATAAAGCAGCAAATAAACACTGAAAACCATCTTCTCTTGCTTCTATGTTATTTCATGAAAGTAGGCTGTACACAGGTGTTCCATGTCATAGGAAGCATCAAGCTACTGCCTTTCTGGGCACACTGCTACCTTTTCTACAAATGCAGCATGCAAAAACTTATCAGATCACAGGTTCAAAGGTCAGAAAACACTTCTAGGATGATCTAGTCCAAGCATTAACCAGTACCAATGTGTTCAACCTTAAACCATATCCCCATGTGCCACATGCCTTACTGAACACCTCTGGATGATTCCACTACTTCTCAGGGCAGCATGTTCCAATGCTTGACCACCTTGTAAGAAGAAATTTTTCTTAATATTCAATCTAAACCTTCCTTGGTGCAACTTGAGGCCATTTTCTCTTGTCCTGTCACTTGCTGCCTGGAAGAAGAGATTAACTTCACTACAGCTTCCTTTCAGAGAGTTGTAGAGAGCAATGTCTCCTCTGAGCCTCCTTTTCTCCAGGCTAAACAACTCCCTCAGCTGCTCCTCATAAGACTTCTGCTCCAGACCCTTCACCAGCTCAGTATAATGTTCTTCAGAAACAGAGAGATTGCCACCATGTGAATCTCCAGCCCCATGATTGTCAGTTATTCTGAAGTTAACTCCTGGTCCTACTGAAAGCCAGGTTACCAAAATGCCATTCTGTAGTTCTCAAACATGCAAGATGTTTGCTACAGCCACTGCATTGCATATTTTAGCCCTAATTGGGGTTTGCTACAGAGATAAGTAGTGTAATCTGTTATATTTAGTGTTTCTAGAATCATACATAGAGAGTTTTAGGCAAATAATGATCAAATTAAAATGTGAATCTCTGTGGGGGAAAATGTGATGGCTATTGGGGAAGAAAAGGACAATTTATTAAATTAGCAATAAACTTCAGAACTTATAAAGTTCAAATACCTCAAACAGCATTCTGTCCAGATCATTTTAATTCACTACAAGAGTATAACACCACTCTGTGTGCAAACAATAAAGAGCTGCATCTCAAGACAATTCAAGGATGGATGCTTTAAATCCTAACCCTTGCTAGGAATGGATTCACAGCTCAGAGAGATCTCGAGTTGGAACATACTGGTTTGTGCCAATTTTGGAAAATATTCTGCACTGCCAAAAGAGAAAGGTCAACCTCAAATACCACAAACTGCATGACAATGTTACACAGCATGATCTCTCACTTGCCCATCACAAACCATCTTCTCTGTCTTCCAGGTGACCTGTATTTACTGAACAAATATTTAAATATTTAAATACTTTTGACAAATTTCAGACTCGTGACTTAAACTGATCTTTACTGGTACTCACCCTACGGGAAGACTAAATGAGGAATGAAGGGAAGGGCTAGATGTTCCCTTGTGTGCTCTGCAGTGTACTTATTTAGTAGCTTTCCATTCTGTGGTTGTTGCTCTGATTTTCTGAGGAATTTTGTGCTTAGTGGTGCATACCTAACTGTGCAGTGCCTGGCAGTGTGCCCAACCAGCCTGGCAGTGTCTGCTGGTATTTATACTGGACATATTCTACATCTCACAACAGCTGTCTGTGACCTTCTTCAGATAGGTATCATGACAGAGAACTTACCCAATTGCCTCTCTGGCAGTTGCTTTAGCACACAGACAATCGCATGGAAACTCATCTCTGGGGACACACGAGAGTCTACTGCAGAATCATACATAGCATAATATTCTATTAGCATTTATTCTTATTTTCCAAAATTATAATTAAATCATTCTTAGAGGAACTCCTACCAACATATTCTGAACCAACAGGCACAGGGAATCTAGATGCCAAATTTGCCCTTTTGATCACATGTTAAACTCATGAAAGAGGATCCAAAAATTAAAGTCATGTCCAACTTTGAAAAGTAATTTGATCCAAAATACACAAATCAAAGCTTCCCAAGGGTTATATTCTATAAATATAGAATATATTTATAGCTGTATTTTTTCAGCTGGAGGTGGTTTTGAGCTACTTTAATCAATTATCTTTTAGATAAACATATAATCCTAGACATATACAATGTCAAAACAGAACTGTATATCCCATGTAACAGTTATCTTTTTGAAGACTTAACTCTGCCAGTGAAAATTGTATTTCCAGAATATTGCATTTGAGCTAGGCCAGATAGGCTCTTCATTTTTCCTATTTTTCTTTTTTTAACTTGTTAATGCAAGTATACAGTAAAAAGAACATCCTTCTTCCTATCCTTCAAAATCAGATTGGCTGCAAAAAAGAAAAACAAGCAAAAAAACACCTGAAACATCATGATGTCAAGATGAACAGGTGATGTCAAGAACACTACAAAATAGCTTTTTTTTAAGACCAAGACTTAATTTAGTATACAGTACCCATGAGTGCAGACTCTGACCATTCTGCCTGGCTTGGATAATGAACCAGTGGCCAAAGACTTAGGAACATTTTCTTGGTAATAGCATTGAGTGCTTAAGGGACTCAAAGGGTCATCTGAATGTTGTGAATGGAAAAGTCACCATCCTAAAGAGCATATAATTTTATATATGATGGGAAAAAGAAAGCATTTTATAGGCAGAAAATGAAAATGCACGGTTACAACATGATCACAAGATCGGTGGTTGGACCTGCATATTTAAACCAACACAATTGTTCATATTATTTTGCTGGACTTTTCATTTCTCCAGTCTGGCAGTACCCAGTAACAGAATAAACTGCAGACAAATTCAGCAGTTCAGAGATCAGGTTTAACTTGTAATGAGCATCAGAAGCAGCTTCTGTGACCACAATATGAAGGAACAGAAAGACAATTCAACATAATTTCAAGCTTCCAAATGCTTTTCTTGCAAACATAAGATTAGGATTGAAGGAAATTAGCTGGTTTACAAGTCTGCAGAATTTTCTGAGGAGCAACAGAAATTCTAATAGAGAATTTACGAAATAGATACACTAAGACCAACTTCATGTTTCTAAGCAATGTCAGGAATTTTCATGTACCTCCATCTTATAGCTTTGTTTACTTTTCTCACAGATTTATCTTCTTGCTGTTTAAAAATTTCCAGCAGCAGTGAAAACTGGATCTTGCTCTTCATTCAGAATCCAACATAAGCAATCTTGCTTACAAGTTCCTTCCATTTCTTTTCTTAGTCCCTTCCTTTTTCCTCAGCGCCTGGATCTCCACTGAAACCAAGAAGAAAGCTTTGTCACCAGATATATTCAGACCTTTCACAACTAAATCCCCAGAATTTTGATGTCTTTACACTAGTACCACTACAGCTACCTCAGTTATCCATTATACTGGACATACTCCAATTCCCAGAGAGCCCCCAGCTCTCCAGGGAACCATTTTGTCCCTTCTCCATAATAAGAAAAGAAATGGCCTTCTAAGAACCAAAATTACAATATATCTCTTCAAATCAATGTCACTGTACATATGAAGCCAACAGACACCATTATCCTACTTTGCTATTGTACAGTTGTGTCCTCTGCTGTAAAAGCCCTCAAGTATTGATTTTTCTTAGTATCAATTACCATCTCAACAAAACTGAGGCTGACTGTTGGTCTCAAACATGTGACAATGCTTTGAAGATCTGTTTAAATATTTCTAACAGTGCTTGCTATGGGCAAAAGCAAGCCCCATGAAATGTGGATAAACAGCATTGCCTCACACACATAAAACACAACTTAAAAAGTTCTTTCTAAGCTGTGCATTGAACCTTGCAGTGCCTCTGGCTCATCATTTCATCTGCTCTGCCCTGTCACTTTCTTCTGCCAGAAGTCCCTTCTTGTGGGGCCTCAACAATGCCACACACTATAGTGTTCCACATTGCTTTGTGAGAAACTAGAAGCCACTCCCATTGCCCTCCCTAACACATAGAGAAGGCAGCCAAAGTTCCTGAAAGTGGAGGCAAAAAGGTTGGTGTCCTGAGGGAGTTGATAGTATCAAGATTGCCTATGTGAATGCCTGCATGCTCAAGTTGTGTAACAGCCAGGGAGTGTGCTCCTAGAAGTGGTTCCCTTCTTCTGAGGAAAGGAGAACCACCCAGAGATGTTTGGATTGAGGGTGGATCTATCAGTCCTTCAAATGTTCATGGGCCAGCCCTCAAGCTGCATCCCTCAGTTTGAAAAGGTCACAGATAACATACAGGGGAATGTGTTATTTACTATTAGTTTTGGTACTTTGGATAATGGGGGCTTTTATTCCTTTGGGAAGACACTTTCAAGGTGCAGAGTTAACTTCCCATCCCTTCCAATAGTAGAGAAGGAATGGCAAGTATGGATTACTGGCTGGCCTGTAAACCAGAACCAGCCAAATGTGGCAGTTCATATTCACTTGCTCACTTTGCATACAGCTCCCAGATATCAGCAAAGCCAAGAAAGAAAGTCACTTGCCCAAATAAATTTCTCAAAATTACTGTAATACAAAGTCATCAATTTTCAACTCATTCAGTCATATGGACAGGCATCTACAGAGCTGATATGTAACTCCCATTATTTTCCTGCTACAAATAACGGGGACTTAAAAGTCCCAACACTTAGTGAGATTATTTACTTACAACATAAAGGAACATTAACTCCTTTCTGTCCTCAGCAGAAATAAAAACAGGAAATGTCAGTAAAACACAACAATCTTTCAAAATGCACACAAATAATGCTATTTTTTAAAAAAAGTACCAAAACTCTAAAGACTTTAAAAATCCCTCCTAAGTAAGAAACAGCTTTTTTATTCCATGTAATGCCACCAGCTGGCTAATCCTGATGATTCATATAGGCAGGTGGAGTTAAAACAGCTTATCAGGGAAACACTCTTCCATTTTTACATAAAGAACACTTGTACACTTTTGACTAAATTAGTTCTCAAGGAACACAGTTGAGCAGCCTGATACCAATGCTTTAGAAAATTCAGATGAATGAACCCAGGCTTTCAAAAATCCTTATATTGGAACACAGTACTTCAGAAGTAAGGTTTAGGAGACTGAATCACAACCAGCATGATTCACAACCTTGTCATACAACAGGCAAGACTTAGACCAACCAAAAGCAGCTGAAACTTGACTGGACCAAGGACACCTGGAAGTTGACTAGCCCAAAACACATTGCCCTATTCACAACACAGTATCTAACCTCATGCATGTATCTCCAACTCTACAGATATAAACTGCATGAAGATAGTCAGAAAAAATGCTTAGAGGTACATCATTATCTTCTCTTTAATGGAAAAACGAAGTGGTTTAATTTGCGTCATACTAGATATTTTAAGCACACCCTACCTTGCTATGAGCTGCAACTCTTATTATTTGTTTATGCATCAGTGTTCTCACCATCCTCACTCCTGACCCATACACCAAAAACAGAGTAGAACAAGATCACAGATTCCCAGTGCAAGTGTGCATCCCAAGTAAGGTGCATTGCTATATTTAATTCTCTGGTTGCCAGTGCATTTCTCTGTGCTAAATTTCAATGCAGTCTCAGCACTGAGAGACCCAAGTACCTCTTCACATAGAAACATGTCTTGTTACAGTTCTATATAGACAATTCTTCTGCTTTGCCAGTTGCTATAAGACTAAAAGCAGATAGGACCTCACTAGTAGATCTGGTGAAAAAATTTAAAAGAAATCGAGTCAGACTAGACTAGAAATTAGAGTAGATAGGGCTTGAGCTGACTAATCCAGTAATTTAGTGCACTAACTAGGACTACAGGCAGTGAAGGCCTTTACTCCTCTTTTCCAAAGTAACCTAGAACCCAGAGAACTCAAGGCAAAGCACAGACCTTCTGGGCCTCCAGTACTCCTCCTCACATGGCAGAAGTTGCAGGCTGGGAATTTCAAAGCTTCCCAGTTGCTGCTCTGGCTTGTTCAACCCTTCATTGTGTAATAAGCAACACACAATTTCACGTAGCAATTCCCATGTCCAAGGGGTTATATAAAAATTTACAATTTGCAGATAACTGCAAACACAGGGTTTATTCTGAATTGGGGTAGGCTTGAGCTAAAATTTCCTATGAGCCAGAAATACTTCAAAAATTAATAATGCTGAAGAATAAACACTGCTTGTAATTTGGTTTGTTAGAGCATCAGTAAGTGTTTGGGGCACAGCGAAATGCTTCCTAAGGCTAGCACTTAAGCACCCTACAAGTACAGAAAAGAAGTTGACCTCAGAATTTAGGTTTTGTTGAATCAAAGTGTTTCACAATGCCAGAGATCGAGAGAAAAACTGTGATAAATTATACAGCCATTATTTAAAAGATGGTGTCCTGGATTTACAGAATACAATCTGAGGTCAAACCAGACTAGAAAAGAAATTGCTTCATTAGAGAGTAAAATGCCTCCTGCTCCTTGAACCACCAAAGTTTTCCTGGCATTTTCTAGGCAATAATCAGGATGTCTTGCTTGTTTTGAATTTGTCTGTTTATAGACAGACAACTGGTGTCAGATTATGCTTAGTCCCTCTGTGAGGGCAGAGTTCCTTACACTTACATTAAAGTAAGTATATCTAGCTTCAGCTAGATGAAATCTCAACAGTTTATGTCCTAGACCCCTCACTGTCAAATGCAGAGTCTTAACTAAACTTGTAGGAGTTGTTTAAAATCAGGTATTGGAGGCTTACTCTCACTTATACAGCTCTAAGTACAACTATACAGCTACAGATCAACTACAGAGCCCATCAGCTGCTCCATCCCACAGCATGTTGCTATGGTTTCATTAACTTGAAGCTGAAGCCAATACCCCAGTTCTTTAGAGCAACCCACTGAGGCTTCTTTAAATATAGGACGAAGAAAGCCTCCTCTTCTTCCAGACCTCACAAGGTCTGGAGCAGCGAGCAAATTAAAGCCCAAATGTCTTCCAAAACCACCTCTAGCCAAGCCATACAAACCAAGCAGTTGGCAAAGCAGGGATCTTGTTCAAGATGCTGCCAAACTGAATCCTGGGAAATACTGGGAAAGAGATTTTTGTGGCAGTGCTCTTTCCCAGGATGCATTCTTGGTAGCATAGCTGATGCATATTTAGTACAATGTCCTACAGGGAGGACAGAACGAAGTTTTCAAACTTCTAGGGAGAATCAGATGCTCTCAATCAAGCTGAGGTTTTCAGTGGCTTCCCCTGGATCCTAACCTCCCAAGAGCTTTGTCTGCTCTCACCATGCTCATATCACCTCATTAGATTAATATCAGGATAATAATTTACCAGGACTGTGACAAGTCCAAGTCAGTGCTTTTGGAACCTCAGAGAAGATATTGAAAAAATGATGAACAAACACCTTTCAAAGGACATCTGTTCATTAGGAGTGCTCTGTGGCCACTTACATTAACTTCGTTTAATATATATCACATCACAGTATGCTTTGAGAAAGCATATGCTGAGGATTTTTAAGTGTAAATAACTCTTCTTTTTTAGCAATCTTTCTTCACCACTATTCTCCACTGAGATCTTGTACTTCAGATGGCAGCAGTAATGGAATGAAATTACCTGTTCCTTAAGACCATGCTGGAGTTTATGCAAAGGAGATCAACCATATTGTGTAATTTCCATGGGCACAGGCTTCCTGGGAGCAGTAAAGGCAGAGCCCCTTCTGAACTTGGCTGAGGGAAGAAACCCAGTGTCAAAGCCAGTCCAAGTAAATAAAGTCACATATACAAACATGTACTTCTTTGAATGTAGGGATGTATGAACAAGGCTGGTATCTTTGCCACTTGCTCTTCTCTCTGCCTCAAGCTCTAGAAAATTTTAATTTCTCAAGGCACCCTGGTATCAATTACCCTGGATAGAAGGGCTAAACAGGCAGGCATCACAACCAATGAGATAAGAATCTGTCCCAACCTGTACTGCAGCACAACCAGCATTTATTTAGCTTTTCTCCTGAGCACTGAAACTTGGGATTTCTTACTCTGAACAAAGCTATCCAGACCGATTGACTGACACCCTTTCCAGAAGGGCAGCAAATAGCTGCTTATATCCTGGTGAATTCTGTGATTACAGTCTGATTAAGAACCCATCATCTCAGTTCTAGTCATGAATCAGGCACCTCTATGGCCCAGGAAGGCTGTTTAGTTTCTTTGTCTTCACCTTCTCTGTCAGGATCTGGAGAATGACCAAGTGTTTAAGCTGCAGTTTCACAGAAACTGTTACAGAACAGCATCATCAGGCTGTACCTTCAACACAGCCTGAACCAATCCAAACTGCTGGCCAGCACAGTCCTGCTGTCCTTGCCTCAGAGTGCCACACTCCTCCTTAGCACTAACAGAAGTGACACCAAGAAAGTTATTAATGTTCTCACCAGATCTCAGAGCAAAGATGACACCCACTATATGAGGACAGATCAAGGCCAGAATGGAAAGGCAAGGAGAAATGAATGGCCAATTAGATCAACTTCAGTCATCACAGGAGCACAGATTTTGTAATTCTTGAATCTTATGAGCATTTGAAACATTTTTTCAAGTGCAAGTATTAGCTGCAGTATGAAAAGTGTGAATGGAAGGCCAGAGCAGAGTCTCTGGATGAGTTTTCACTATTAAAGCTAAATGGAGTTTATTGGGAAAGGACTCCTCTGCTATTATGAACAGAAGGAGCTCTGTTATTGCCTACAGCAGCCCTCACAGCCAGAAATGGAAGGCCCAGAAGCTGAAGTGAGGTGGCAGACAGACAAGAGGGGTCCTCCAGCTGGCAGAGCACTAGAGTGCAACTTGTCCACACAGCAAGTCAGAAGCAGAACTAGGTAGCTGCCCGTCTCTTTTCCTATGTAATCTTTAACAATTTTAGCCATACAGTCTAGTGTTTTCTAGGCTAAGCATCTGTTAGAGCTTATTTTGGCTTTGCTTCAGGTCACAGTCTTGCTCTTGGGAAGGTATTTTGCCAAATGAAATAGAAACCTTCTGGCTCTGGTGCTTGTGAGCAGATATTTAAAATATTGTTTTTGTAAAGGACAACTTCTTTTGATAGGCTGCAAAAGAGCCAAATCCAACTTGATACATTATTACAATCCCTGGAAGCTCTGGTTGGTATTGATTAAAGATTCCATTTTAATGGAGCAGTCTTTGAGCCTTTGCACAAGTTCTATCCCAAACCCAGAACTTGTGGTGACACAAACTGGACATTGCTTAAAACAATTAAGCATCATGTTCTCCTTGCATAGCATGTGTCCTATAATTTGACTTCAGCTGACAAAACAAATGTGTTTAGCAACAGCTAAGATACATTAAAATCAGTACTGCTATGAACCCACAGTTGGAATTATGTCTTAGGAAAGGCTTGCTATTACACAGGAAACAATTCTAGTTCCCATGCTGAACACAGATGATAATGACTGAACACTACATCATGTAAGCCATGTTAGATACTGGACTGTGCTCCAAGTCACTACAGAGATTATTGTATTTGCTTGAGTACCTCAGTTGCAGCAAAATATTGAAAGACTCTTCCTATGATATTGACATGCAGTACAACAGGATAGAGAACTGCCATGAGCAAGCAGACTGAAAAAAGTATATAAAAGTTTTCAAGGAAAGTGAATAAAAAGAGAACAAAGAAGTGTTCCAGGCTAAAAATGGTTTCTGCAAAACTCCAGCTGACATGGAGCCTCCTCACCTTTGGAGAGTTCTGTTGTAGGAGTCACAGTCACGCAAAGCTAACAAGCGCTTCGAGGTGAAGTTTTGCTAACTTGCTGGAGCCAAACATCAGCAGCTCTACAGTTCTTAACCAACGACTCTTACATTTCTGTGAGCCTTTATATACCCATAAAAAAGTACAAGACTCCCACAGAAATGAGAAATATGTTCCACACATTACCTTTTTCCCCACAGCCCTCTGATTTACTGTAGATGGTGGCATGACTGATCATCTGACTACCATCTGTCCAACATCTGCTTCCTAGTGAAACCACCCTGCAAATATAGCTAGCTGGCTCCAGGCTACCAGAATTCATCATGAATACCCTGTTGTATATTGAAGCTATCACTAATGCTGCTCCCTTCAAAAGATTCAGCATACTGACAGAGCCTGAGCTCCCTGGTGGGAGTGTGTGACAGTGATGCTATATTGCCATTAGCTTTTAACACTCAAATATCCTAACAATCCCCTAAACTCTGGAAGTAGACTACAGTAGCTTGTCTTGAAAGTCAAAAAAGAAAAGCCCAGAAAAAAAAAAAAACCAAAACAAAGAAAACCAAAATGCAACAAATACCTCCCCATAAAAACAGAATCTAAAGCCAAACCCAGGAACCAGGAATTATTGAAAGATTTGCAACAATATTACAAGCTTGGCATCATACTTCTCTTGTGTAAGGTAGCATGGCACCTTACACAAGAGAAAGATTTTATGCTCAGGACAGCTACAAACAGAGCTGAAGGTGCTTCAGTCATTTTCATACCCAGAGCTTGCTACAAATTATATTTAGGATTCCCATTCTATCCCCTAAAGGCATAGGTAAGCTGAGCCAAACCACTGACTATTCCTGATTTCTATCTGAACTGTAAACCCTTTGGAGCTATATATCCTTTTGTGCCTGTATAGCTCTATCTGAACAGAAATAATATATCAGTTTGCCAGAAATCCAGATCCCAGACTCAAAGCTACTGAAGATTTAAGGTGTCATGACCCAAATTCTGCTTGCAAAGTGAGTTTCTTGCAAACTCCCTCTAGACTCCTAAATATAGTTCTGTTTCCAATAACATGATTCTATTTATTGCCTTCTGCATTTAAACCCATAATCCTTTAATAAGTTTGGGAGTATTTGAAGATTTAAAAAACAAAACAAAAAACACACAACCCAACCAGAAAGCAGTTGGGCAACCCTGAAGTTGATAGTTTATTTGAGTAAGCCATAGGACAATAAAAGGCCAGACTGACCACAGTAATAACTCCCAATGCTGACTTGAAGAAATTAAAAGCAGGCCAGGAAGCTTAATTCTAAATGTGTTTTCAATTGATCTTTGTTCCTGACTGTGTTTAATGGTTAGCTGTTCAAGAAACCCTCTGGGGTTCTGCTAGTTGATTTCAAACTGGGAAACAACAAGCAGTACCACGGAGAGAGAGAGATGCTCTTCTTTTCAAGAGAGTGAATTTAAACACTGCTGAAAGGCCACATACTACTTGTCTCAGAAAAGCAAAAAAGAAAGATTTCTAGGCAGAGGTAGATAAGAGACGGTGACAGGGCATGGCAAGGGATAGCTCCCATAAATGTACCGTTGGCAGAAGGCAGCCTTGCTGGTAGCCACAGAAACAAATGAGTGGGATGATATTCAGTGATGAATCAGCTTGGTTTTTATTCCAATGCAAAAAAAGATATGCAAAGGGATGTCATCCAGAATAGCAAATGGCAAATGCCAAATTTTTGAGAGAATTAGAAAATCCACATAAAATCTAAAATCAGCTGTGGAAATACTGAACTTCTCATGTTGAATTACACTGTAAAAGTTGTGAAGTTGTAGCTGCAAATACAAATTTAACTTTTCAAAATGGGCCTGGAAATCAAACCTGAACAGTCTAATTGAGTGTGCTTATGTGCTCCCCTCTCTGCCACAATAACTCAAGTTGAGCAGTGCTGTGAAGACCTGTGATTCAGCTGGAGTACTGGGCGCTTGGAATCAACCCCTTGTTTGTGCAGACCAGTCCAAACAGCCTGATACTGTTTGCTCCAGCCAACGCTGTATCATGCTTTCTGATGCAGAAAGGCAAATTGGCAATCAGAATATAGAAGGTGAATTCATATGTCAGTGCTCATGGTATTTGAAATCCAGACAGATTGGTTAGGACAGCATTTAGCAGAGAGTAATCCTTGCAAGGTTTGATACCAGATGAAATTAAATTTTGCTGCTGCACCTGAGATCTCAGCAGCATGAACTCATCTCAGCTGAAGAATTATTTCTAATTGGGAAACAGTGTGGACACAATACTGTTCTCCTTAGGCTAGTTAAAGACTTCTTTTCTTTCCAAAGTGCACAGGGTCTGGGTCAGGAAACGCCCTCTTCAGCTTCCTCTCAAAGCTGTTTCCTCAAAGGGTAAGGTCTTTCCCACCTTCCCTCAGAAAACTGCATATCCTACACATAAACTTATCCTCTACAGGATCATCAGTCATATTTCACAGAAGTGGAAAACTGAGATTTAAAGGTTAAATGACTCCCCCAAAGTCAGTGGAACAGACAAGGGGATAATACTATCCTAATTGTTTTCAAGCACTTCACATTGTAAGAGCTAAAGCATTACCCAAAGTATGTCTCCAGCATTTTTTTCAGTTATATGGATGCCTTGCCTTAACATCACCCAAATGCCAGCAACAGAAATGCATTGGGGCCTCAGGTCTCCCAGGCTCCTACACAGAAACTGTTCCCTCAATTTTATTCCCACTGCTCCTTTCCAGCTCCTATTTCTATATGCAAATCATTATCTTCTTACCTTCTCTCCTTCACTGCCCACTTACTCATCCAACACATCAAGATGCAGCTGCCTCAAACTGGAAGACAGCTGAGAAGGGACAGAAAACACTGTTAGACCCTGGTGATATACAAATCATAAGTATTCACAAAATAACATTTTTGCCATTACACATCTTGGCAGGTCTCCCTCCACCATCAAATGAAATATCTATTTTCCATTCTAGTTACTTCACTTCTGCATGCAGATTTTGTCTCAAGACACCAAATCAAATGTTTGTGCTGAATGACACAGCAAACATTGCCAGTCTCAAAAGTCTTGTTCAACACTTTAGGGGGCATATGCAATTTTGGTCTGAGCTGAAATGTACAAACTATGGTCATTTTGACCCATGCCATAAAGGGCACCAAGGAAAAGGATTTGCTTACTGACAGGAGAAGTAAAGTTGTGAAGTGATTGTATAAGAACAAGGGACTGGAAAATGAAATTATCTTCCCAACAAATAGCACACTGACACATTAGCTGTTAGAAGCATTAGAAGTTTGTAATATTTGAAATCTGCCTGCACAAGAACTTTCACACTTATCTGCTATCAGTGGCGCTATGCATAATTTTATTTGGGTGTCAGGTATTACAGGACACAGCTCTTCTCTGTTACAAATGCTTTTAAGTCAAACACAGTAGCAGCAAGTTACCAGACAAAGGAACACTGTGTTTAAGGCTGCCTGCCAGAGATGACTTATTCAAGTTGATTACATGGAAAGGAGAGTAGCGCTGCCACACTTCTGCCCCATACTCCCTGGGGAAGAAAAAAAGCCAAGAGTCATATCTAGGTTTCCTTCAGTTCTCACTGCATGGGGTAGGCAGAAATAATATCATGACACAGGGTTGGATTTTGCAGAGTAGGGCACCCAACTGCTCTGCTAGGTCAATGCAAGCACATTCTACCTTAGTTTTAAGTACAATCGGTATATAAAATGCCTCTCGTTTGAAAGCTGAGTCTGTCCATGATTTGAGTCAAAAGCAGAAAAGAATCATTATTTTAGATCATCAAGAAGCAGGAATGTCTTGAGAGTTTGAGGAGCTCAGGCTCTCATCAAAAACCCAAACCACCTTTCATTTCCATATATTTCAGCAAAATTTGGGGTTATACTGTCATATATCACATCTTAAGGTTGCATAGTCTTAAGATCTGTAAGTAAATTTCTCCCTAATATTCCTATGTGAAATGAAGGTAGGATTTTATTAATTATGAGGAATTAGGGTACAATTGCAGTAAAATTAACAAATTCTACCTCATTGATTCAACCTTAATGGTTACTAACCTAAGAAAAACTGCTGCGTGAAATACATGTAATAAACACTGGTGGGAAAAGCTGTATGCCCCGATTCCCACTTACGCTGCTCACTTCAAAGGCGGCAGGGTGAAGTCAGCAATTAATTAGCAGCGAGCGGCCGGCAGGCTGCGGCGGCTCCCACAGCCCCTGGTGCGGGAGCGGCTCCCCGGCTCCGGCCGGGCCCCGCGCGCCCTCTGGCGGCGAGCGCCGCGCAGCCCCCGGCAACGGGAGCCGGCTGCCGCCGGGGAAGGAGCGAATTCCCTCCGGCGGGCACGACAGGCAGCGCCTTCGGAAAGGTCTGTCGGCACCATAAAATACACTGCTGGCTGCGCTTTTATAGAATATTAGGACTAGCATTTTCAGCCAGGTAACACAGCCAGGAAAAGACTGAACACACGACTGTACAGACTGCGGGAGAGGCATGGTATGAGACAATAGAAGACTATTCCAGAATATTGCAGAATCATAGATTCATTTACATTGAAAAAGACCTCTAGGAGGATCAAGGTCAACTGTTAACCTGCCACTATCAAGCCCACCACTAAGCCATTTCCCGAAGTGCCACATCTACACATGCTACTTCCCCGATCCAATGTTTGACAACCATTTCAGTGAGTAAATATTTTCTAATATCCAATCTAATCCTGCTGCAACTTCAGGTTATTTCCACTTTCAGAATAAAAGCAATTAGCCATGGATCCCAGCACTATGCAGCAATTTACAAAATTACAACAAAAAACCCACCACCAAACCTACCTTCTCTTCTTGAAGAGCCTATTCCAAGTTTTTACTGATACGTTCCCATTAAAGCCTGAGGGGTTACAGTACTGCCACATCAAAAATCTGCCTTTCAAATCAAAATGCCCTTTACTGCAGTTTTTAAAGGTAGCTCACCCATCTTTTTTTGACAGATCTCTCATTGGAAGCAGTGGAACTCTACATGCAAGAACTAAATAAAAGCAGCTACAGAAATAGGTTTTGGGACATAGTTTGACAATTTAAAAATTTCAACACTTCTCTGAGCCAAATATCTGTACCATTTGGGGTTTAGGATACTTTATTTCCATAGCCATTCTTCAGTGAGTATGTGTTCCCATTTTCCCTTCCTCACTAAGTATAAAACTCCAACCATGAAAGTGCCTGTTGCCAACCTATGGGCATTGCTGTCTGTTAGTTTTCACTGCAAGTTCTGTTATTTATATATTATTATATATTATTTATATAGCAACTAAAAAGCCCCAAGCATCCCCCAGTGTGCTATTTTTCATCACCTAATGATAACTTCCATGGCCACTCTAACTTTAGCAAAGGTATATTCTTTTATCTACATGGTATGCAATTGACACTATGCCTCATTATTTTTAGATGGTATTTGGATTTTCACTTTAAGCATTACCTCAGTAGTCCTATGTGTCAGTGTTAATTCTCTGTTAATTAAGGCAGCCCCATAAAACATGACACAAAAGCAGAAAAGGGCCTGAATCCTTTTTGCTGAAATGATGAGGCTGAGTCAGCTGATGCATTGCAGTGGGAGCTGGTGGCTGTCAACAGCTGTCTTTCATCCACTGGTAATCTCAGATGCATCAGTATCTAAGACATCTGATGAAGAATAAATAAGGGAGCTATTATCTTTTTTGAATAGGAAAAAAACAAAGACAACCCCCAAACAAACAAACCAACCCCTCACAACCCAGAACCTGAAACCATTGTCCATGACTGCATCATGTACAAATCCTGGATAGATTTATAATGGATCCTTGCATGGTTTAACCCAGGCAGCAGCCAAGCAGTGCCCAGCCTCTCACTCACAGCTCCAACAGTGGGATCAGGGAGAGAATCAGAAGGGTAAAAACTGGAACACTCATGGGTTGAGATACAGTTCAATAGGGAAAGCAAAAGCCATCCACACAAGCAAAACAGAACAAGGAATTAATTCACTGCTTCACACGGACAGGCAGGTGTTATGAAGCTGAGTAATGCAGAGTCCCCAGGCAGGTACAAGAGAGAGCCCTTTATTGCAAAACCCAGGCCTTTTTAAGCAGTTAGCCCCTTATCAGCTACATTCCATTCAAGCACAACAAATGTAATTCAACCAGCAGCCATAAGCCAAAATGTGAGCACATAATGGCTGCATAACTTGTTTTTCTGCCTCCAATTCAGCTGAGTCACTTTCCCACTCTACCAAGTAGCAGGCCTGAGCCACACTTGGACAAGGATAACAAGGCCCTTCTTTTATTAAGGCTTTACCTGCAACAGGCAGGTGTGCAGCCATCTTCAGGGAGCAGGACCCCATCACCTGTACCCGTTATTTGGGAAGACAAAAAAACATCACTCCCAACATGCCCCACTTCATGAATTGAGCATGATGTCATATGGTCTGGAATACCCCTTTGGTCAGTTTGTGTCACCTGACTGTGTCTTCTTCCAGCCTTATAGACAGAATGTACAGCAGGAAACTGTTCTTACAATAAAGGAATAAAGAAAACCATTAAATCCCATGACACTAACCAGATAAAACTGCATCCTGAAATAATGAATCAAATCAATTGTACATATTCCACTTTACCTGTAATGCAATATAACAATTTTCCCCTAGAGCAAGAAATGTTAATTTCAGTAATACAAGCAAGATAAGAAGATGGCTACTGATAAAGAAATTACACATCACCAGTGAAAGTGCAGCTGACATGACAGCAAATGCAATAATAATGACTCAGTCACAATCAAGGACTACAAAGAGAAATATTACAAGAGCAGAGCTTGGAAACAATTATATTTATCATAGAAATCAGATGCAAAGAAACCTAGCAAGGGACACTGTAAAATCAGAAGGCCTTGAGTTACCATGCTGATCCATGCACACGTGAGAATGTGTTTTCAGTGTCCCTCTAGGCAGACAAATGCTACTGCAGTGGGGTAGTATCTGAACATCTTAATCTTATCAGTAGATCTATGTCAAGTTTTTACCAATAGGCACCATTGATAAGCGTATCTACCCTCCTCTAAAAGTTGTTATCTTATTGCAGGGGTTCCATACAGTTGTCTCATTATCACAAAAATTTCATACCTTCTTGGTGTTTTCTCCTGGGCAGCACCTTTCTTCTTCTTCAGAAAACAACCAACTGACTCCAGTTCCCCTCTCAGCCTACTCTTTTACAGCACTCTTCTGCTCATTGGTTACACCTGCGGCCTGTTAAAGTCAGGCCTGCTCCTACTCTTTGCTAATTGGCCCAGCTGCAACTCCTTAGGGGTAAGATTACTTTCTACACCATCTTTATTTTCTTATAGTCTATCCCCCTACAAAAAGTAACCTGATACTTTGTGAAACACTATTAATTATAAAGGTCTTCATTTTTCAGCAGTCATTTAGCAAGGAAAAAACAGTTTTATAGCTTGGACAAATCTTCTCCAGGCATGATCACATGATTGATTTTCTTATCATTAGATTTATACAATGTTTGTATTGAGTGGGCTTTGTATGAGCCAACCACTGGTCTTGGACTTTTGAGATACAGGCTATCCATCTTCACTCACTACATACACTCTCTGACACCCTGTGCAGCAACTGGACATCAACTGATTAAATGAAGGTTATCACAGTTGCCAGTTTTGAAGCACAACTGCTGCTTCATATTAAGTTGCCCAATTTTAGGGTGAAAACAAAGTATAATGGGCTATTACAGAGCCTTGCTTGCTCCATATGACTCTGCAGCTGACTATGTCGAGTTAAGCACCAAGCCCAGCTTGATGCAAGCAAGAATGAGATCAAACAGCTACTCTCTAACAAGAACACCTTGCACATTAGACTCCTCAATGACACATCAAAGCTCTGGGAACAGAAACGTTTTAAAGCTTTATGCAATTTCACCCAGCCACACCTACGAGAAATGAAGGCTGCACGGAGAAAGCCTAAGAATAGGAGATCGAGTTTTTACTGGTACACAGACCTGGAAGTGCTTTTATGAAGAGATAAAATCTGTTCACGCTCCCATACATTAGCTCTGCTTTGTAGTTTTGAAAGGTATTTCCCACTTATGTAAGAGAAGCAGACTGCTTCCACATAAGCAGAACGTGTGATCCTTTTATTGAGGTGCTTCTGTTATACTCGGGAGCCTTCTTCAATGACATAGCTGAAACTGCTCATTTCCTGATGACGTTAAGGCCTCAACTAATGAAGCAGAGAAAACTCCAAAAGCCATCTGTCATGATAAAATGGTTAACAAAGAGAAAGCAAAATTTGTAAAGAATGCAGTCCCCTTAGTAGCTATTGAAAGCATATATGTTTCATTTCACAGAATATCTTCGGGTGGAAGGGACCCACTGGTCCGGGAGTCACACCATGTGTCCGAGAGCAGTGTTCAAACACTTCTTGAATCTCGTCTGATGGTTGAATTCAGGCTGGTGCTGCGACCACTTCCCTGGCGACCCTGTTCCCTGTTCCAACCACCCTTTGGGTGAAGAGCCTTTTTCTAACATCCAAATTAAATCTCCCTGACACATTCTCAGGCCGTTCCCCTGGCTCCGTCAGTGCCACCACAGACATCAGTGCCTGTCCCCCCGCCTCCCCTCACGAGGGAAGAGGCTTCGGGCTGCGATGAGGTTTCACCGCCTCAGCGATTCCTGCCCCACCCGCACAGCTGCGCTGCTCGGGAGCGAACCCACGGGCACTACAAGTGACAGGCGAGTGTCATCCAGTAAGTGAATTTGCTGGGCAGTCACTAAACCTTGGATAGGGACAACCAGCATTTCCTCTTGACAGAATACTTGACAACCACTTATTCTTCTATTGAGGCAATAAAGACTAACAGCACTTGCTCGTCTCACAGAACCAAGGCCAC